TCTTCTTTACATCACAAGTAGGTCAACACTGTTTCCTCATACTTATGGCTTTTTGACCTCAGGTACTATTAATACAAATTTGTAAAAGTCCTTATGTAGTCCTGTAGTCCTGGGCTACTGCTACTTTCATGTACAGAGGAATGAAATATAACAAGATTAGTATGCTAGACCTCAGCGGTTTCTTTGGCATTTCTTTTACTACATGTGATTATGATTTTTAAGGATAAACACAGAAATTATGTCACCATCAGTAAATGATAATAAAATTATGACTAATTAATGATTCCTTCACTCTATGTCTGACAGTGTTTCCCACAAAGTTTTCATTTTCACAAAGTGTTACAGCATCTGGTGTCATGGCTGGCAATTATCTACACGAACATTTTAGTCTAGATACTTTTATTATTTATTAAAATACTATCGCATAAAGAATTTGTTTCAATCATTGTCATTCTTGAGAATAGGAAGTCTAACTTATTTACCAAAAAAAAATTCAAAAACATGCAGGAAATTAAATGAGCGTGCATTTCTAATTACTGAGGTACAATGATTACTAGCGACAAGCATATTGAGCAGGAAAAATATCTGATATTCAAGTTTCAACGCATTTTGCTAGCTACCTGTTAACTCAGAAACACATTAGAGTTGAATTAATGTTCTTTTTTCTAGCTACATGGTGTTTACTCTTTAACTGCTAAACTAAGTCAGTCAAATATAAACTCTTCTTGTGTGGGAAAAGCTCAGGACAGAAATAAAGTCAAGAGCAGGTTAAATGGTTCAGGCGGCTGTCAAGATATTCCAATTAACTTGAAATAGAAAGCCTGTAGGCAAGGGCTGACTTAAACATGTTTGAAACCACAGATCCTGTACATTGTGTGACAGAACCTGAATTTCCTCACGCTGTTAACAAAATATAATTCCCTTCAAAATGGAAAAGATGGCCTCCTGCATTATTGTTTCAACTCTGTTTCTCTGTGCAGTGAGAGCAGCTGTGCTTCCAGTGAAGTAGAAAACTTTCCATTCATTTGGATTTGAGCTATATACATGAGTTGCTTTTAAAAAATCTATTTCTTGTGAAGATGTATTCTAATGTGCATTACAGCATGGAAGATTTATAACACAATTGACTCAAAATTTATTTGAATATAGCTGATATCAGAATCTATCCCCATTCTTTGTTCTACTTTGTTCAACCCAAAGCGATACGAATGGAGGTCCAGTAAAGATCTGGAATGCTTTGCCCCAAATGTTGTATATGTTGAAAGATTTCAGCGGTTCAAGAGACCCATATGAAAAGCCACAGGAAATTCTGCCCGATGTACGTACTTTTAAGAGACGCTGTCGCTAAGAGTCTTTCTGGAAGGCAGGGCATGGCAGATTTGTCTATAGGACTATAATTATGGCTACAGAGCTGGAAACAATCAGGTATAAAGTTCAATGGCTGCAAGGCTGCAGATTCAGACACACGAGTCTGACAATCTGATGCAGCTCCATCCTTAGTCTCATCTATCACCTGAAACCTATAAAATCCCACAGAGCATATAACAGGAAAAAAAAAAACCAAACAACAAAAAAAACTCGCCTAAATATCAAATAGATAAGATAATTTAAGTGCAGGCGTCATTCAGGCCGTTGAGGGGCTGGGTGTGGAGTGGGTGAGGTGAGACTCTTCCTTTTAAAGTTTATCATCGGTTGTCTTCGTGAAGAAGATATAAGAAATAATCAAGCAAACAAAAAACCTAGTTCATATGTAGACCTCACAAATCATGACATGCCTTCTGATTGCTAAAAGCTCATAAGGTAACATTTATTTCAGTAATTGTTTGTTTTGTTAATTAATAGGTAAAAAAAGAGATGAGCCACTTAGTACTGCACCTTTCCCTGGTTAGGCTGGTATAGACCAAGTTGTAATCTCTGTAAATGCACAATTAGAGAAGACATTGTGGCATTAGTTCATCCTAGAAGCTGATCAGATCATTAGCATTATCAAAATTTCTATGCTTTCCCATCATTTTTCTCCCTTTATTGTTTCTATCTTTCGAAGAAATACCAATGTTACAAGACACTAATCATTTGGCCAGTATTTTCTTTTTGAAATTTTTCCCCAAATATTTCTTTTCCTACTGGTTTCTATTGTTGGGTAGGTGCACTAATATACCCTTATCTCTGCTTAGGATGCAATTATGTCTGAAATTCAACTCAGCAACTTCATAGCTTGTACCCTAATTGCTGAGATCAGGAAAATTATGCTGATTATAAATTTGGATATTTCTGCTAATCCACTTGATTGTTAGTTTCCTCGTTTTGCATGTAACTGGGTCTTAATGCCTTCCTAAACTCCAGAATTATTTCATTTCCTTCCTATTTCTTACTCCTGTTCAAACCATGATCCTGATGTGATAACAATGGGAAGGACTTCCAGACCTTTCAGGAACTGTAAGTTTTGGTAGCCAACATTGTCTTTAAATGGAGGATTGACTGTGCCTCTCCCTAACCTTTCAGCTAATGATTACAGTCACATCCACTGTTTGCAGTAATAATAATCAGCTCTCTAGCACTACTGTGCTTTTGTCCAGTTAAAAATACCCAACAAGAAAACACCCTATTTGACTGAAAGCACCTAATGAAAAGGGCAGGCTTGTATTGTTAGTAGAATTGAACAGCCGCCTTCTGTCAAGTTGTATTTTCAGATTATTTTTTTATGAAACTCACCTCAGTAATAGGAAAAAAGTAGTTAATCTATACGCTGCCTTTAACGCAGATCTCATCGCTTCAGGGAAACTGTTATCTAAATAGCCTTTAGTTATCATGTAAGCAGAAAGTGCCAGGAAATGATGTTTCTTCTATTGGAAAACAGGCCAGCTGTGCTTGTTTTGGCTCTCCCCTGTTGTTTTCCATGTGGAAAATATTGAGGCAGAAAGGCGGTGCCTGTCCTCTTATTAAAAATGTTACATGGCTAGATGGAGCTTATCGTCAAACTAGTGTGAAAGAAGCCCTTGTCAGTGAAGCCATTCATCTTAACTCCTCCTTTCCATTCTGTGGTTCTGTGATTCTGGCTTTGCCTTGGAAATGCAAATGCAATCATGTTTTGTGACCTTAGAGATGTGACTGCTTTCTTATGTTTCCACTCAAGGTGGTGAGGTTGAGAAAACTGGCTCAGCAGATTGCAAACTGCAAACAGTGCATTGAGCGCTCAACATCCCTCATCTCTCAGGCTGAACAGTCGCTGAAGGAGAACGATCATGCTCGCTTCCTGCAAACTGCTAAGAATATCACTGAAAGGTAAAGAAGAAGCTCTTCTTGCAAAACCTCAGCTTAAGCCAAATGGGTTGTCATAGTTGCCGTATTGACTTGTCCCACCACAGAGGTGGCCAAAGGGAGGGGGTAAATTAACACATTCCCCCAAAACACTGCTTTGTACTGTACCAGAGTGACATGGACCTTACTTATTGCTAAACCAAAACATCCCTTTGAAAAGAGGAGCAGTTGAAAAAGCATGTGAAATAAGAGTTAGAACAGTAATGGCATGCACAAATGAAGGAGGTAGCATAGATGCCAAGCAGATATCTGGTGCTAAACACACTAAAAAAACAGGTTTCTGGAGGCTGAAATTCCTACTCCATGAAAAATTCTCAGATTAAGAAAGAAATTGGGCAGTGAGTACATTCCTTGGAAGAAATTTGGAATGATCTTAACAGATGCATATTCTTTATAAAATAGCAAGCAGCAAGGTAATGAAATGTGTAACTTTGGGAACCTGCAACATGCATCTCTGAGGTAGCCCATTTGAAGAGTTGGAGATTTAACATCTTGGGTGTCTGGAAGTTATGGCAGCTGCTGTGTTGGATCCTGGGATGCACGGAATTTCTACTGCTTCTAGGGTCCTAGCTCCTTTTCAGAGTGGCAGATATATCAAGGACCCAAAGACAAGGGAGCAAGCCTTTCCACAAAACTGTGCTGTCAGAAAATTTGATCTGGTTTTCAGTGCAACACCGTGAATGCTGGAACATTCCTCCTGAATTTCAGCAGTATTTTGTGATGAAAAAATGTTCTGTTGGAATTATCAGCTTTTAGCTGTCAGTCAGAGAAACAAACAAACAAAAGGAGATTGTATCTGGACAATGAAGAAGAAAACTATTAAAAAGTATTCTCATTTATTCAGCTATTTTTTTTTTATCTCTGGTTTCACATTATACCTACACATTGTCCAGCCAGTTTTTACCTAATCCAAAGCATGAAATTCACTGCTCTTATTATTTATTTTTTTAAAGTCTATCACTTACTGTGGAAGGCGGAATGCAGATTCTTTGAATATCAGGCTTCACCAAAGGTATTTAATCAATTTATAAATAAGCAAGCAACACTGACTTGCTCATTATGCGTTCAGAGAATTGAAAATCCGTTGAGAAAGGCAAGGAAAGGCAAAGGAAGGGAAGGCTAGGCAAGGCAATGGATTACATTTGATCTGCCAGACTCAGACCCTGGTTTGTATTCTGTCACCAAGCCACATTGTGGCATTTCTTTTTCCCAGCTGAAGTTGATGGTAAAACTGCACATGAGTGTGAGGAGCAAAAAGCTGAAGGTGAGGGTCTGACCTTTTTTCAGTATTTGGTGGAACAAGCAGTAGGGCAGAAATCTGTGGAGACACAAAGCTTTTTAACTGACTACCAGAGAATATTCAGAGAAGCTCCATTTTCATCTTGTAAACGTGAACAGTTGCATCATAAATACAGTCACAGGAGAGGCACTTGGAGAGCAGAAATGAGACCAGCTGACATATGTGCCCAATCAAATCTAATTCTTGGGTATCACAGATTGCTGTCTGTAATGAGATGGCTGTGAACACCCTGAAAATCAGAGAATCATTTCAAGCAGTGAATAAAACTGAGGGGAAAAAAACACCAAGTGCTTGCAGACAAATTGCAAGTGGAAAAAGAGACTAAATCTGATTAATAAATTATTCCCCACAAGTAACTCTCTTAGTTCTCATGTGGTGAGCAATATTTTGTTTGCTTCTAGACTGCTCGTGTAACAGTCTTACCAGAGCCCTGAGCTCCAGCAGCTAAAACAATCTCCTGAAATTATGCTCATTGCAATTCTTCATGCTCATATTTCAAAGTAATTGCAATATAATATTCTCTGTTGTAAGCGCAACAGGTAACTATGTATAGCAAAGACATTACACACTACAATGATTTATGTTGTGCAGTATTTACAGTGGGTGAAATGCATTTATCCTAGAAAACCCCTTCCCAACCAAGTACAGTGTCAGATAGAGCAGGCAGAAGTACAAGAGGAAATTCAATCCTCTGGCCCTAATATGTTGGCACAGTGGCTGAAACTGTGAACTGTTGAGCTCACCGAAAACTGACTTTAAACACTTACTCACAGTGCACCCTGTGCATAGCCCCAAACAAGACTCGAAAAGGGCCTAGTGATATGGGCTCCTTCACAATAAATATGTGCTTTATGGAGGTATGCAAAGAAGCTCTTAAGCTTCGATACCTACTTGCTGGTTTATTAGCAAGGCTTTTGTTAATGTTGTAGAGGTGTGTATCACCCCGAGTTTGCCCTAACACAGGCCCTACAAGAAATGCATGTCTTTTTTTCCTACTAGATGTAAAAACACCATAGTGCAGCTGCAGATGAACTACTGGGGGGTGGGAGGGATAGGCATGAAAAAAAAAGAAGTGAAAGAGCTCAGGGAATTTTTCCCTCTAAGTACCTGGGGCAAAAGGCACTTCAATTATCCTCTCTACAAAACCAAACCAAACCAAACCAAACCTCTGTACTAGGATCTACTTTAAACTAAGTTCTACAACTACAGTTGCAAGAGAAACAGTGCTGAAAACTGTATAACAAGAATTATTGACTAGGAAACCTCCTCAGCTCAGTTTTTGACAACTGTGCTGAAGACAATGAGATGTGCAGCTCTGTTTTTTACTTTCCTAACTGTATTTTCCTAAAATACTGCAGAAGAAATATATGAAAACATAGTTGTTAGTAAGCATTTGGCCTGGAGAGATTTGAGTCCTGACTACAGAGACATACGCTAATTTGAGAAACTGTTAATTGAAGCAATCAAAATATTTTGATCTGACATGTCATGAATGACAGATAACTGACATACATTGTGTGCATGGTTGTGTGTTTATCTCCAAACTGAAACAAGTAACAAATTCCTGTTGTGTAACAGGAGGTTTAATAATCTTTTTGCTTAAACGGACCAAATTTTCTGTAAACATATCCAGTACCTAGGTCTCCAGTAACATGTATTTTGAGATACCAGGCTGAAGGATCTGAAAAATCCATCCTGATGACAGTTTTTTTGTGAAAGCTGATCTCTTTGTATTAGTACAGCTGGACAGACAAAAAGTGGATGTAGCTCCTGAAGTGAGGTAGGCAAAGAAACTTTTCAGTTTGGGAGGAAATGTTAAGTATGCACACATGCTTTGCAGGAAAAGCCTTTCAAAATAAACTGTGCTGACATCTATTTGTTTTATCTCCCCCCCTCCGTGCTTTCTGAAGTTAACAGCAGTGTGCTGTGCTGAAGAGCTGAGGAGTTGTGGGGATCTGCACCAAGCCCTTGGGACAGCAGTGCCAAGGAATGCCTGGAGCAAGAAACTGCTTGGGAAAACAAGGATTGGGAGAGATGTAGCGTCTGTTAGGATTGCTTAAAACATGGATAAATACGGTGCTATTGCTACTTTGGTTCAATGGGTGACTAGAAAGAACAATTCAAAGTAAATTGTTGCTTTAACCAATATTTGGTTAAAAACATATCTGACACTGCATGTTAGGCAAAAGCTAAGTAATAAAAGATTTTTACTGGAGACTTTACTCGCAAAAACAAAAGTGGCAGGAGAAGCTCCTAACTTAACCATATAGATAAAATAAATGTAAAAGTTTTTGTCAAGCTTTTTGAGAAGTGATAACAATCATCATGATCAGGTCCTATCTTGATGTGAAAGTTATTGTGTCTTGCGTGCTAAAAGACTTTTTCTTTTCATTATAGGGTTTCCATGGCAACTGCATCCTCCCAGGTTCTAATTCCTGAAATTAATCTCAACGATACTTTCGATACTTTCGCACTTGATTTTACCAGGGAGAAGAAATTGTTGGAATGCCTTGATTACCTTACAGGTAAGATTTTTCTCAAGATGCTACTATTATATGTTCCTCATAAAACACTAGTGATAGGATTTTCCTCATTCCTTTCTGTGGTCAGTTAACTTTGGCTGACTGCCAGGTGCCCACCAAGCCACTCTCTCGCTCCACCTCCTCAGCACGACAAGGGGAGAAAATAAGATGAAAAGCTCGTAGGTTGAGATAAGGACAGGGAGATCACTCAGCAATTACTGCTACAGGCAAAACAGACTCAACTTGGGGAAGATTAATGTAATTTATTGCCAATTAATTGTAAGAGTAGGATACTGAGAAATAAAAACAAAACTAAAACCACTTTCCCCCACCCCATCCTTCTTCTCGGGCTCAACTTCACTCCCAACTCTTCTGCTTCCTCCCACCAAGTGACACAGGGGGACAGGGAATGGAGTTTGCAGTCAGTTCATTACATGTTGTCTCTGCTGCTCCTTACTTCTCATGCTCTTCCTCTGCTCCAGCATGGGCTTCCTCTCGCAGATGCAGTTCTTCACAAACTTCTCCAGCATGGGTCCTTCCCAGGGGCTGCAGTTTTTCATGAACTGCTCCAGCTTGGATCCTTTCCATGGAGTACAGTCCTTCAGGAATGGACTGCTCCATTGTGGTTCCCCCATCGGCCATAGTTCCTGCCTGAAAACTTGCTCCTGCACAGGCTCCTCTCCATGGGCTGCAACTTCCTTCAGGGCATATCCCCCTGCTCCGTCATAGGGTCCTCCTCAGGCTGCAGGGGGGGATCTGCTCCAGCGTGGGCCTCCGTGGGCTGCCGGGGGACAGCCGGCCTCACCGTGGGCTGCACCAGGGGCTGGGGGGAATCTCTGCTCCGGGCCTGCAGCACCTCCTCCTCCTGCTGCACTCACCTGGGGGCTGCGGGGCTGCTCGCACCACAGATTCGCACTCCTCTCTCTCCCAGCTGCTGTGCAGCCTTTTTTACCCTTTCTTAACTACGTTATCACAGAGGCACTACCAGCATCAGAGACGAGCTCAGCTTCGGGTAGCAGTGGGTCTGTCTTAGAACGAGGCTGTGTCTGACATGGGGTCAGCTCGTGGTCTTTTCTCACAGAAGTTGCCCCTGCAACCCAACCGTTACCAAAACCTCACCACCTAAACCCAATACACTCTCCCTCTTAATCCTTAAATATATTAGCCCCAGTAGCCCCGGAATGCCCGAGGAAGCATTAGGTGCTAGGGAGCACAACTGGGATGTGTTTCCTACCTTCTCTCCTTGCATTCCTCCCCACCAGGGTGTGGGCAAATGGCAGCGAGAAATGGTTAAAAGCCACTGCAGCAGAATGAAATGAAGGAACAGCTGGAGCTCAGCCTGGAACGGCCAGAGGACGGAGAGCAGGGACCAAACCCCATTTTCTAGGGGATGGATGCCTCACGTGTTACCCTCTCCCTTGGGGCTGCCTCCTCGCTGTGGTAGACTGCAGCCTGGCAGATTTCCCATGAACAACCAGAAGCTGTTCAAGCAATCAACATCCAGGGCTCAGCAATGAAAGATGTTTTCTCATGCCGGTGACACTGTGTATTTCCCCCATCACATCGCTGAGTCTGGGACTAGAGAGCACGCAGTCTGCTCTGCACTGGGGTGTGGGATGGGTTCTCTGCAGAGCAGAGCCCCAGCTCACTTAACTGAGAGTTTTGGCCTGAAGAAGCCCGCAGGATTAGACCCTTACTGAAGGCCTGAGTAATGTGCTATCTCAGACTATATAATGACTCACAAAGAGAAACAAATTACTGTAATTTAGGGTGTTTTGATTTCCATGCCAGAATTAGAACAATTCATTCCAGTTCAATTGAAAACAGAAGAGACACTGGGTAGGTTTTCATTTTGCAGGGTTTTTAAGCATCTGCTGTTAACAGCAAGAATTTACAATGAAAGGCACAAAGCACTGTTAGAAACCCACTTGAAAACACTTCCTGGGCCCATTCTCTTATCCCAGTTTGCAGGAGATAGACCCGTGTTATTTCAGAAGAATGTGAGAGCGCGGAGTCTCTCATTGCCAACCACTGGATCTTTTCCATGCAGAGGGCTGGCTTCTGGCTTTTCTTCAGGAAAGGCTGAGAGAGTTGGGGTGGTTCAGCCTGCAGAAGAGAAAGCTCCTAGGAGACCTTATGGTGGCCTTTCAGTACTTAAAGAGGGCTTGTAAGAAAGATGAGGTTAAACTTTTTAGCAGGGCATGTAGTGATAGGACAAGGGGTAATGATTTGAAACTAAAAGAGGGTAGATTGAGACTAGATATAAGGAGGAAATTTTTTTATGATGAAGGTCGTGCAACACTGGAACGGGTTGCGCAAAGGGGTGGTCGATGCCCCATCCCTGGAAACATTCAAGGTCAGGCTGGATGGGGCTCTGAGCAACCTGATTGAGTTGGAGATGTCCCTGCTCATTGCAGGGGGGCTGGACTAGAGTACATTTAAAGGTCCCTTCCAACCCAAACTGTTCTATGATTCTATGGTTCTATGAATAAGTGAACAGATCAATACTGGGAAGAGCAAGGTTGTCTGCATGCGCAGGGCAGCACCACCCTTGCCTTACAGAGCCGTGGGGTTCTTGCCATATCTGAAAGAGAGATTTTATCTGCAAGAAATTTCTGTATCACTATGCGACTAGTGAATACAATGAGTTTAACACATACTCAAGTAAATAATACACAACAACAATGTGGTGAGAGTAATTTGAATTTTTTATACAGTACCAGTGAAATGCTATGGTTTCTGCCTCTCCCCAAAGTCTGCTGGAATTTTGCTACCATGTTGCGTATTCACCTCAAAATTATAAAAAATCCAAGGAAATTAAAAGGATTAAGAAAAAGCCAGACTCACTTGCCCTAACCTAGGGATCTACCTGTGACATAATCAGCCTCAGCTTCCTTTATAGTTGAAGAAAAGGAATAACCACCTCATTTTAAGGCATGTGTATCAGGTCAGTTGACTCCATTCTGGAGGTGCCTGTTTCTCCCAGTTGGCTCCAAACAGAGGCTAGAGAGACTCATTCAAATACATCGTGTTTTAGATCTTTAAAGTTATACAAGGTCAATTCTATCTAGCAATCTGTTGCCGCACCACCAGGTGTTCTCCCCTTTGTACATCATGTGTCACTATTGCTAGCCTAATTGCTGTACACTGCAGAAAATGAAGGCTGTATCTGTACCAAAATAAGGGATGGTCTTGCTACAAAGATCCTTTCTGTGGTCCATCGTGCTGGCTGTGTCATTTACACAGCTCCTTCTCTGCCTTCTTCCTACCTCATCCACAGTCTTGAAAAATTGCTCACAATGCAGTCTAAGGGAACTTGAAATGTATCAAGCACTTTAGCTGGCTTTTCCTAATCTACCATTTTTATCCTTGCCCTTGATGCCCAGTGAAGAACAGTTTTAGCTGGCTCTGTCTTTGTACTATTTTTCTTCACATTAATAAATAGCATATGGCTGCAATTGCAAAATCCAAAACACGTGTCCAAATTATCTGAGCATTAAATACAACCTATGCAGACACTTAAAATACGTTTATGTAAATATATGTGTATATGTAATGTATATGTATAGTCCCAAGAGTCAAATGCACTTGATTATTCTCTACTGTTGTTCAGAAACTCTATAGGAAGATTTATTTTATTTTATCCCGTTCAGATTGGTGCATGGAATCTTCATAGATCTTAAACTGAAAACTATGTGACAGAGTGAAATGGGCTTTACTTTTATCATGTTTCACAGTTAAGTAAAATGAAAACCATTTGTAAGTCCTAGTGGTGCACCTATGTTGTGAATTAAGTGAAGAAGCCTATCTTGTATCTATCATCTGTACTGCTTCTGAACAAAATTTCAAAGCCTAAATTCCAGCTTCATTCTCTCTGCTCTCAGTTGCCTTTGAAGCAATTGACCCTGGTTGTCTTCTGGAGATTTTCTTCTCCTTTGGTTCTTCCCAGAGTACTATTCGTCAGATCTTCTTCATGCTCCGTCTCCCCAACCCCAGTTTTCTATGTGGCACATTGAAGTTTGCATCTTTCTTTCTTCCTAGGTGATTTCATTCCCAAATATAAATTTAACTAGTTTGTGCTTATCATTTATGCAGCTGTCTGTCCAAAGCTTCTGCTATCCAAATGAAAATCTCTGATATCTCTCTGAAAGTTGCCAGCCAGACATTGAGATGTCAAGCTCAGTATATTAAAACAATACCTTTAATCTTCCTCTGACTGTTCTATTCTCTGTGTATATAGCCTTGATGTCTTTTGAAAGCTTTCTCATCTTGCCAGTTGCTCAAGCTCTTCATCTGGAACTCATCTTTTTCTAAACGTGTATCTAGCTAGATCCAGGCAATGCAATGACTTGCAAATTCTCTGCACAATATTACTGACATAAGGACTTTTTTTATCCACTGTGAATCAGAAATACCTGTTCTGTGTCTTAATACTTTGAAATCAATTGCAGGAACATCTATTCTTTGACCGTGCAATTTGCCCTGCTTCAGAAATCCCATCTGAAACAATGATAAATTTTCTTCATCCGTCACTTTAGCTATGACTGCACAAAGAAATATGTAATGCCTAGCATATTCCAGCAGTTTTTTCACAGGAAAAACAACTTCATTCAGGAAACTGTTTACAACCTGTTTTCCTCTTAACTCTTTCAGTATTAAAAGATCAAAACCCACCTCCAGCCAGCTCAGTCTCGTGCTTTGGCTGCAATCTCTTAGCATTCTGTGGGTTTTGAATAGTTCTGGTCTACCCAAAGACTATCTCTAGATGGTTGTGTGACTGAGCTCTTGATGCCAGCTCACGCATGACATGTTACTAATACATCAAATTTGTATCCACATCTGATGTAACTGTGCCTTTCAGATTCCTCCATGCTGATTCAGTCCAGTGTCATGATACATCATGGAGCCAGTAATGAACAGCTGAGAGAGGTTCAGAGCAGCTTCCTCAACTCCCTCATGTTGATACCAGCAATATGAATTTCTAGCACCGTTAAGTCAATGAGATGGCTTAGATCTTCTTTTTTTACTTGGTATCAAAATCAGTAAGGAACCCTTATAAAGTCCATCACCCCATGACAGCAGGGAGGTGGAGACAGAGCAAACAAAAGACAATTGAGGTGGTTTTAGTCAATCTCTGTGACATTGTGCTGAGAGGATTTAGATACAGTCTCAGTTAGTCACCCAGGAGCCACTGCATTCATGCTGGGATTCACCAACGAGAGGTGGCAGTTCCCCTAAACTGCCTCACAGGTGTGTGAACCATGTGAGTGCTATCAGTCTGCTTCAGAGCAAAAGCCATCCAGATGACATTGAAAGGAAGGTGAGTTAGACTAACCTGGTTGAAAAGGAGTAGGTATGCTCACGAGGTCAGTCACTTCTGGGAGCAAATTTAAGAAGCTGTTTTTCTAACATTAGTTACTCTCTTTCAGGCACTTCAGATGTGGTTCCTGACTTTTTAAGTGTGTCTGCCCAGTTTTGAGTCGAAGTCATACAAATGAACTGAAACAGCCTTCAGCAATGATTTTCTCTCTTGTCAGAGAGTGTTGATCCATGAATGCAGGTGGACGAGACTCAGAGTAACTGAAGCAGTTACCACTCCCAGATACTTACCTTGGTCCTCTATGGAGATTGCCACTCCATGACCAACGAGAGCTACAGCTGTTAGGAAGCAATTCCTTAAACCACTGCAGCTTTCATTGTGCCTTGCTAAGTCTGCTGGCACCGATTCCAGGTTCCCTCACTGCTCAAGGCTTTAAATTTGACGTTTTCAAGAGCTGCTTCACATTTTCTCCAGCTGTCCCTGACACTGGGTAGCAGTTTGTAGACAGGAGGCAGCCAATAACTTAGAGTATTAACAGCATCAGTTGTCAAACTTCAGTCCTGTTTGGTTGTGAGTCAGTGCCTGTCCTCACTGTCCTGTCCTCACCCTGAAGTGGACTGGAAAGGCTCACGGGCAGTCACTGCTTCTCCACCGGGAAACGGGACCGAAGGGTGGATATGAGGCTTTATGTCTTCTACTGCTGTGGTGGAAGTATGCTGGGCTTCCCCTTCCCGAGCAGTGGTGGAGCACACCCGAGTCAAGGCCACGTGGACGAAGTTGCTGGTGCAGCCTTGAGATGGCTCTGGAGTCTCTGTAGAACTTTCCCTGTGGCACCTGAGCTCTGTACTAGTAAATTTGATAAGCAAATCACACACTATCAAATGTAATAATGGAGATAACTGATTAAGGTTGATCTCTTTAATTGCATTATGGACTTACACTCTCCAAAGGAGTATGTGCTGTGGAAGGATGAATTTGGCAGACTTCTACATTATTTTGCACGTAGACTTCCCTGCCTGTCTGCAGGTGAAGCAAGTATATTTTGGTTTTTTCGGAGTGGTTTATGGAATGAGTATTACTGAAGAGCTGAGTTTCCTGCAGTGTAGTCTCAGGTGGGTGTGGGTTAATCACAAGAGCAAGAGAAAAGATGTCCTGCTTAGGTCAAATCTCTTTTTTTCTTATTACATGAAAGCCTGTAAATCTCCAGCCATAAGGCCAGCCAGGTGTGCATATGAAGAGAGAACTTAGGCTGTCATTTTCAAAGGAGTTGAAGACACTTAGGTGCTATTGAAATGCAGTTTACAGTTCATTAAACCTTCAGTAATTGTTGCTTTCCATAAATTAATATTTATTATCTGTGTTGTAGTAATGACAAGTACATTTCTCAAGTAAAAGGTTTTGCTCTGTTAGGTGCAGCAGATGACAGAAGATGACTTTAGTTGAATACTAGCACACAAAAAAAATTTGATCCACTTGTATATTTGTAATCAATATTTTTCTCAAATTTTTTTTTGCCTTTGAAGGACAGGCAAAATATGAAAAATGAAGCCTCAGCTAGGGAAAAAAACCAAAAAGTTCCAGTGATTGTTCTGCTGGATACGTTTTTGAAATATAGCTGATAAGACCATTGCAGTACTGCGTAGCTCTCACAACAGTTAGTTGGCCTGGGTTAGTACACAACCTCTAAACTGCAGCACTAATCTTTCCAGAATATTGCGGGGGTTTTTCTCCTTCTTTTGTTTATATTCCCCTCCTGGATGACTGTTCTTATTTTAGTTCATTCCTCTCTCTCTTTATTAATACCCATCTGTCCCAAGGGTTCCTCTGCCGAATTAAGAAAAAAACAGACCTTGGTAAGCTTCCGTGCTACAATATTTAGAGCATCGCAAATCATGGTCATATCATGAAACACGCTTGAACGTTTCTTTATGCCTCTTGGTTGAAAGAGGCTGCTTGGAAATACATCTGCACTTTAATCCTTGGGAACAAACATCAGTAAACCAAGGACATGAACTATAAAAATTCTTAGTGGAAAGTAAAATAGATGTTTCATAAAAATAAGATGGTGCAAAAGTAAAGGTGGAATTCCTTCAAAGAGACTTTTTTTGAGGCCATTATTTGTGGCTAACGGAAGTTAAAGAGCTGACAGCAAAAATGCCATTCAGAGTTGCCTTCCTTTTCCTTTAATACAGGCATATTTTGGTTGTTTCAGCTGGAGTGCCCTGCTTCCTCACTCTGTGACAGCTGGGACGAACACTTTTTTTTTTTTTTTTTTTTTTTGCATGCTGGTGGCAGGTAGGGGAGATGATTAGGAATGAAGCTCCCACTGAGACAAGCATGCAGGCAGGCCCACCAGTCTTTCAAAGAAAGACTCATTTGTTTCTTATTTAGGTGTTTGGCTTTGTAAATGATGCAAACAAGGAAAATCTAGACCTAAGAAGTTTGCTTCAAGTTTAACTTCTTTAAATAGGTCTTTAAAACACACCTGTGCGTTAATATGGGAGAAGAATGTAGAGCTTGCTCCACAGAGATCTTGCTTGCTGATTAAAAAGAGAAGAAACAGAGGGAGAACTTTTTATTAAAGTGTTTGGATTGTTTTGTAGAATTATTTAATTAGCAATGACATTGAAGATTAGGTTGTAGTAGTCACACAGTTGTGATGTTATGATAAGAACTCTTTATGTAAGACTGAAAAAAAGTGAGTTGTATAGCCAACAGAAATTATATGCTCCTGTATTAGAAAGAGTAGCTAAGAAATAAATAAAAATGAACTTGGAGAGAAGAGAATATTGAGCATGAAAGCATGACTGTTTGGAGGCTTTGCCAAAATCATATTTTTTTAAATACCACCTATGGCAATCTTTGGTGAGACAGGCTAGTTAACACTGCTTTAAAGTCAACAGTGAAGAGTGTTGACTCTCCCTCTTGATACATCCATCAATGAAACTTTGATAATTTTGGTGTGATGGTCAGAACAATCCTAGAAAAAAGTAACATGTCAATTGTACCCATTTAATCACAATTTAATGTGACCATCACTTGTGCTAGGGCATCTGAAGCTAAAGCTACTTTAACACAAAATATTTTCAAAATCTAGAGTTCCTAGGTGGTTATGCTTATAGTAAGAATTCCTTTGCAACAATTTATTGATAATGAAAGTTACTACTGAAATTAGCAAAAAGTTGTTGAAAAGTCTGTTGGATGGTATAGCTACAAACTTATGCATCAGATGCATCCCTTAATCTCAGGTGAGAACGGAAATATTTTACTGATGGTGTCAGTAAGCCTCCTCTCTTGTATCTCACAGCTCCCAACCCACCCACCATTCGAGAAGAGCTCTGTACAGCTTCTTATGATACCATTACTGTCCACTGGACATCGGATGATGAGTTCAGTGTGGTCTCTTACGAGCTGCAGTACACCATCTTCACCGGACAAGCTAATGTTGTTAGTGAGTATAAACCTTCTCTTTTCTAGTTCTGTTTCCTTATGGTTTCTCTGTAAACCAAGTGTCTTTGAATATAAATGTACTCATCTGTTAAGAACAAAAGGAAACAGTATTTTCTAGGAAGAAAGATTTAAAGCCAAAACTTTAAATCCAAGCCAATAATGATTTCAAAAGGTTTTAAAATTCAGAATTAATTCCGTTAAAATTTCTTGTGTCTTTTCTGGGAGTGCCATGTAGTGGGAGCTTTGGAAGACTAAAACCAGGACATATTCCCAAAGGCACAGGTATTGCCCATGTTAGCAGGACTTGTCTCTTGCATCCTAGGTCCCTTGTTGCAGGTGTAGCAGGGACAAAGACCTCAGTTCCATTGTCTGGGCTAGTCAGGCACTTGGGACCCTGTGTTGAACTGGTCATTAGTTAGATCTGCAGCCCCATTGTCATTTACATAACCTTGACCACTGGAGCTTTGACAGAAGTACAGAATTAAGTTCTTTCCTCTGATTTTTACTGTCTTTAAGGCTGCAAAGCATACATCTCAGTTAGTATACTGAAGGCTAAGGCAGCAAACATCAGTGGAACCACAATTAATATGGTAACTTTGTTCGACTTATAATGGTGTTAATAATCATTGCTTTATATTTTGTATTGTAGCACGTTTTTTATTACGTACACTCTCTGTTTTGAATCTGTGACTTTCCTTAATGAACAAATTTACTGATTATTCCTTGGATTGTTTTGTTGTTAGATAACTATTCCTCTGAGAAAAAAATATCGTCTAATCTTTGGCCAGGAAGTCAACACTTCTGGGTTCAGTGCATAGTGATCACTGACTGTGAATTTGGAGAAGTCATTTAACTTCTTCCTGTTACCCGTATGTTTTAACAGGAATACCACTAGCTGACTCATACTTGCTTTATGAATCAAGGTTTCTGAAATGAACCAAATCAATCAAAAGGTGGAGTTTGTTCAGTCAACATGTATTGAAATTGGGAACTCATTGCCACAGAGGGTTTTTGTGTTTTTGAGTTCAAGACATGACTGGACAGATCATGCAAGAAAAATCCACTGAGAACAATGAAGTGCAGAGACTTCCTTCTGACTCTGGAAGTCCCAGGGCTGTAAGCCATTGAGGCCTGGGAGAGTGTGGTGAGAAATGATCACTGTGTGCTTTCCCTGTTCCTCAACACCTTCCTACGCTCTTGCTTTTGTCCACCGTCAGATACCCTGGCCACACACTGAGCAAGTTCTGACCCAGTGCACAAGTGCTTTTCTTCTTACAAAATCTGTTGAGATACTTTGATGAAAGTCAGTGCTGGGAGATGTTTACATGCGTTAGGTCAGTGGAAAATGGTATGGTCTATGCCAAGTTTCAGTACTGAGCCAGACTCTTGCACTGACTCCTCTCTTGCTGCGTGCACTTCATTTTCTCCATCACTAAACTGGAGTTAGTTTTCCAAGCCATCTGAAAGGATATCGGAGGATTCATGTGCTGGCATTTTAACACAATTTTTAAGTAGCGTACTGTGAATATGTTATGGTATTCAGGATTGACTGAAAAATAAGGTGGACTATTGAAAATTTGATGAGTGTTTTGTCAAAGCCTCCATTTAGTATTTCACTAAACAGCCTAATTTTGGACAACACACTGTACAATTTAAGACTGCTGGAAAGACCAAGTAAAATTCAACACATGTTCCTACATCTGAGCAAGGTGGATAAAAAAAGGTCTAATAGTAATTTGGAACAAAATTGGAGCAAGGTAGATAAGAAGGAAAAGCTTCCCTGATGAATCACTACTAAGCAGACAACACCTGATGATAACACAGTCCATTGCTTGTTTTCTGACCCATTTTTGTCTATGGCTTTATGCTAGAAGATTTATGCAAGTCAGTTAATGGCACTACATGTGAACACAGCAGCAGAAAGGTGTGCCATTTCCAAACTTTTGTGATGTGGGGTTTTACTCTTTGCTTACTAGTGAATAAATTACAAGGTATTTCATTTTTAGTCTTTATTGTAAGTTTCCCCTGTGGAGGTGAAAGCTTTGATCTGCAAAACATGTATCAATTAGTCTACTTCAGAGGAGCAATATGATAATTTTTTGGATATAGCATGAAGTGGTCAGTGTGCAGTTTGAACTTTCATGTTATCACTTTGCAAAAATGGTGTCATTAAAAGTTTGAAGAGAAAACAAACTAACCCTATAAGAAACTTTGCTCTGAAAACCTTAAATGACAGTAGAAAGAAATGAAAGAACTGGCCTCCTTTTTTTTTTTTTTTGAAAATGCAGCTAGCGCTCACACATATATCCTGGCTGTTAGTTTCAATTTACTTGAAAGCTATAACATTAGCCCAAATTAAATACATGCATATATAAGTATGTGGAAGGGTTTTCTAAATGTTGTAAAGTTTTTTTTTTAATCTGGCTATTTAATGTAGACTTGAACACCTCCAATGGAGATGTTCCTGCCAAATCTAACCGGCTACAGATCTGCCCAGGTTTCTAACACATTAGACTCTTATAAGTATATGTGGAAGGGTTTTCTAAATGTTGTCAAGTTTTTTTTTAATCTGGCTATTTAATGTAGACTTGAACACCTCCAATGGAGATGTTCCTGCCAAATCTAACCGGCTACAGATCTGCCCAGGTTTCTAACACATTAGACTCTCCCAGTTCATTCCAGCTTCCACTGGTACTGGAGATTTGCCCACTAACATCCTGATTTTACTCAGAGCACTGCTTAGATGTTTCTTTACTTTGTTGGATTATATTCTTTGTCCTGCAGAAGGGTCTAGTATCCCAACTTTTATAAATGACTTTCCAAGATTGTCTCTAGAGTATCGGACTGTACCTTCGTAGTGTGGTCGAACAGAGAGAGCTGTTTCCACTGTAAGGGGCATTAGCAGGTGCTGCGCTGCAGCCTTCATGTTTTGATGAACTGAACTTAGGTGGTAATTTTTTTTTTAAATCCTGTTTTAATGGAATAGATTTTGGATTAGCACAAATTTCTTTCTATTTATGCCATTTGCGTGCTGTTGCACATAGCTATTTTTTTAATTTACCCTTCTGCCATATCCCCAAAAGTTTCCATTGGTATTGTGTGTTGCCTGTAGCAGGTAACGTAAACAGGTTCATAGGTTGTCTTCAGTTCTGTGGTTTTTTAGCTATGAATTACTCAGGAGGGAGTAGCTAGAGTACAGCATTACACCAACAAGCTTTTTTTCCCCTGAGACAATAGGAATCACTTTGCATACATACCCACCTACCGTGCTAATGGAGGCTGTTATTTTGGAATCCGTTTCTTAAAACCACATGGCCAGACTGACTGCACTTTCCACTCCTCAAGTACATTTCCCCCACCAGAGGCATATATCATTCAGAGATTGCTAAGAATTCAGTAAGAAAAACAAGCAATGCTATGCTTTTTTAGTGTATTTTCTATCCAACATAATCAACTATATTCTTTTTTATTAACTGAAAAATTGGAGAGTTAACATTTGATGGAAAAGGTCCAAATAGAGTATTTCATTTTGAATCCTATTTCATACAGAAAAGATTATTTCCAAATGTGGTCAAACTGCTTGGCTATTAAATGCTTGGCAGCCCTCTTCTGTGCATAAGAGCAATACAGAACTTTAAATTAAGCAGGCTTTTACTAAAGCAGTTGTTCTCAGAGTTATACCATTCGCACATTTGCATTTCTGAGAGGCAGCTAATCACCTGCAATCTCAATATTGTAAAGGCTTTTAAAATGACTTTGTCACTAGCTAACTAACATGCATTATAATTTCATTATCCCATTTCAATAAATTTTGAAGTATTTATTGAATATGCATTTTTTAACATCATGGATTTGCTTTAGTGTGCTTCAGGAAGGTTAACATTTAAACACCCAGTTTTTTACTAGCTGTAATACAAGATATCTTCATGAAAAATACATCTCTTTCTTCAAGACAAAAAGCAGTCAATAATTCTCTCTTTCCTAGTAAATGGAATTTAGGTTACTTAGTTACATTGGCTAAATACTAAAAATCACTGTTTTAAGGATATAGCCTACTGTCAGAACCTTTTCAGTGTTACATGGTTACTCTTCCTATGAGATAGGATAAAATTTTCTTGAAGGATCTAAGACAGTTAAGAGCCCAAGCTTCCATGAAAAACAGTGAATTTATGATTCACCAATTAATTTTGAATATTCTAGCTTTTGTCTGTTTCTGGAAGTTTTAATTTATTAAAAACAGATTCCTTACAATCCTCAAATTGCTACTGAGGATTTTAGTGAGTGTCTTTTAATGGCACAAAAGCAAATTTGGAATAAAACCAAGAAGACTTCTGCCTCTTGGAAAGTATAAAAATGGTATATTTCCTAAAAAAAATGTGATGTGTTTTGCAGAAATCCCATATATATTATTTTCTTTCATGTAGGAATGCAGAGTGGGGGTGGAGAGCTATCTCTTACCTTCACCTGCTGCATTTGTTCTACCAATTTGAACTGGTAATAATTTATTTAAATAAAGCACTTTAAAATAATTAAAATAATCAAGAGATTAAATAACCTTCCCATGACTTTTGTGCTCCTCTTCCAGTTTTCAAGAAGATATATTTTATTAAAATCTACCAGTGTAAATTTTAGGAGGATTTACACCTTGGGATTTTTCCCATCTGTTTTTTAAAGTGCATCAACAGCCAACGCCAGGGAAATAGCTTTACAAATTATTACCTCCAGACTCTGAGAGACTTGGTTTGAGAACTCACACATCCTGTACGGACATCACTGTGCTCACTGCACCATTCCAGGATGTAATTTAAATTCTCTACATTTTTGTAGACTACAGTTTTAAAATACATTGTTTTACCACCTGCATAACCCTGTTAAAAGCCCTGGGTTTTTGAAACAAGAAACCTGAATGTACCCTGGATTAGGAGTGGGTGCAACAGGAGACCCTTAGCTCCTGCTGCTCTACCCGTGAGGAGAAGATGTGTGCGTTTCCACTCAACCTGCTGCCACTGGCAGGGGGCTGAGAAGGCAAACGCTGCCCCAGGATGCCCACGTTACCAGGCTGTTTGCTCATTTCCCTGAACTTTCTTAATCATCTTTCATATTCAGAGAAGAAAGGCTGTCCTGAGCAGGGCATAACTGGAGACAAATTCTTTCGATGCAGTGACAGAATATTCTTTCATACCTAAAAGCTTAACTTGGCTGCCTCTAGTTACTGTTCTCTATTTTAAAGAATTTTGGACTTGTAGTTTGATATCATCAAAACTTCATTCCCAAGATTTTTGAATCAAGGATCATTTTAGAGCCTGTTACCAAATCACTTATAGTCAGGAAGCACGTGGACACATCACCAAGCCCCTTGGTGCATAGGCAAGAGCCGAGCTTGTTGGGACAGCAAGGTTTGTCGAGCAAAGTAACTGAGTCAGTCACTGCACATTCAACATTGATTGTACACCAATAGTCTGGGATGCCTAAGACTGGGAGGACAAAAAGAGAAACCCAAGGTGTCTTGTGTCAGCAAAGAGGATAGAGCCTTCCCTTAGAACATGAATCAGGTCAAATGGACAGTTTCCAACTCTCTCTGTCAACTATGCAGAGAGTTTAGGGTAGGTCATATCCTAACTCAGGAACTCTGCTCTTTGTTCAAGGTCAGGTGGGATGAATATACACCTGTCTGTGAGTGTTTTGACATTAACCCTAGCAGCAGAAGCCAAGATGTAGCAATACCTGAAATTATTGTGGCTCTGCCTTCTATACACAGAAATCTAAATTAACAGTTAACTGCATTATTTAATAATGTAATAATTTACTCTGTGTGACTATTTACAGACTACTGAGTATTGGGCATGTATAAATCCACATACACAGAAGGACAGACTGGAGAGGAGAGTCATAGCAATGCAACTGTGCCTTTACAGTCCTTCATGTACCTATTTAGATCCAAGTTTTATACTTAAGGAGTGATTAGCCTCTGGAGGCTATCATAAAAAGTGTAATGCAAGCCTGAAAATGTGCCCTTTAGAGACCTATAGTGACTAATACAAATCTAGTTTTGAGATGATTTCGCAAAAATCTGGACATTTCTGTGTCTGTGTAAGGGTTTGTTTATATATGGCCTATATATGCTGTAGACCTTTGCTTTCAAAGTGTGGTTGTGGAAGGAGAAGACACTTCCAGGGCCACTGACCAGATCCATCCCAGTTACTGTCATACGTTATTTGATACCCCATCAGAGGCATCTGAGTTAAGGATTCCTTGGTCAACCTGGACTCCCTCTAAAACCAGTGCATCATTTTCATTTATTTTAACTTAACACTTATTTTGCTGTAGCACCTATGAGTCAGGTAAGTGATGGTCAAAAATGCAAAATCAGTGTGGTAGTTCAGCTACAGAACAAGTGTGCCTTTAATACCTGTGGCAAATTTTTATTGGGAAAAGATGAGGATTCCTCTGAGCAGTCAGTGAAATATTTTATGCCAGGAAACTGCTGCTTTTATTTCCCTTCTTCCTCTTAGGAAACCTATTCACACCCAGCCTAAAAAAAATAAATATCATTCAGTACGTATGGTTCAGTGAAACAAGACATGGACTGATGTTGCTATAAGCAGTTTACTACAAGTCCTAGGCACAACTGGGGCTTTCATGGGGTTGATTGATTGCTCTATATGATCTAGTTTTTCAATAGTCTTGAGAAAAACAGTGCTGCCAAATTGCTTTTCTTTGCTGCTTCCATCCACATGTAGGAAACTGTTTGAAACCCTTGTAGGTGATATTTAGGGAGGCCACATGTGGTCAGGATGCTCAGTGGTTGGAACATAAGGAACATAGTAGAATTCTTTTTTCCCACTTTACACCAGGAAACTGCAACAAAGAAATGTTCTCATTCTGGTAAATCATGGTCCAAGGGCCACAACCCAGAGGTGAGTTCAGCCACAGGCTTAAACTTCTAGACTTCAAATCAGGGTGGCACTTGTGGTAGAATGGTCACACCTGGAGAAGTGAAAGAAACTACTCACTGATTTCTGCCTCTCCTCAGAGTCCAGAAAAACAGGTTAGGCATTGCAGCTCTTCATTACATGACAAGGTGATATGAGTCCCACCTGAAACTGTGTCTCAGTTACCCATTTGCACAGCTGGATGAATAGCTGCCTGCCTCTCAAGGATGCTGTGTAATATAAGAGAACTTTGAGACAAAAGCTGCATAATTCTTAGATTGAAATTTGGGGTTTGAGTTCTCTTTCTAATGGATTTTTTGTTATGAAAAGCGCATCCCAAATTAGAAAGGAATCTCCGAGTATGGTTATGAATTGTCTATGAGTCTGTAAACTTGTATCGCAGGTCTTTTTCTTTCAAGCTTTGTGTCCAGTAGCCTTTTCAGTTTTACTTTACATAAAGGTTTTGTATTGCCTAATATGCAGAGCTGAAATTACCACTGAATTCTAGAAGATTCTCTTCACTAGTACTTACTGGTTTGCTGGTAAAACATGAGTTAATAGCTGAAAGCTGGTTTTTAATAACACAATAGCTTTCATAATATGTTCTATGCCCAGTAAAGGCAGAGACCAAGAAGTCTGTCAGGTTCCTAATCAAGTCAAGCATTTTTCTTTTAAGTTTTCCAGCCTTATATATGCACACACATGCATACACTTCCATCTTTTTCTAGCTGTATAACTATATAAAAGGTTGTGAATATATATATACTTCATGAATGTTAAATTTGTTATTTATGTAAACATTTATAATGAGAGAGCTATCAGACTCGGCATCCATTAGACCAGGAGCTGTTCAAAATGTACAGTAAGTAATATGGGTGATTGACTGCCATTGCAGTTATATCACAGTAGGAAAAGTTTATGTAGATTAATAAGTTCATCTTAATGGCGTATTTTCCTGCTTTGAAGATGATATTGCTCCTCCCTTATTTTACTTACTTCCTACATATTCTACTTTTGTGGTAAGCATCAAACTTACCCAAAAAAGTCTGTAACTGGAAAATTATTCATCTCTTCCCCAGCCGACATATGAGGACATAAATCAAGAAGTTGCATCCATTAAATTTACTGGCTTAGATTACATCCTGGCAAAGTCTGGAGTGTAATAGCCGAAGCTTGCTCTGAAGCCCATGCTCTACCCATGTTAGGCCTCCCATAATTTGCCTCAGGTCCTGAAGAATGCATACCTGGGGACTGTCAGCAAAGGTGCCTCTCCAGCCATCCTAGCTTTACTGCTTGCGTTAGTTTTCTGAAGCTTAAACTGAGTTCGTTAATCCAAACAGTAGATTGATGGGATCTCCATAATCCTCTAGTCCTTAAGCAATAAAGAATTCCTTGTGCTGGAATATGAAAAATCTCAGAGTGCTCATGCCTCCACTGAGTCATTTCTTAAATGCCATTTTTTATGCTTGACTTCACATAGCAAGAACTTAAAAGATACCTTGGCTGAGGGCTGATGAAATGAGTTAGTGGCATTAAGTAGCGACTCAGTGAATGTAACAACACTTTAAAAGGTACAGAAGCAAAATTCATACCGGTTGTTGGGTGCTTGAGAGTGCTCTAAATGTTCCTCTGTTACAGAGTGTGTAGTGTGTTATGACTGATGTGCTCTGTTTGAAATTGCAGGTTTATGCAACTCAGCCGACAGCTGGATGATTGTTCCCAATATCAAACAAAACCACTACACAGTGCACGGGTTACAGAGCGGCACTAAGTACATCTTCATTGTTAAGGCCATTAATCAGGCAGGCAGCAGAAGCAGCGAGCCCGGCAAGCTCAAGACAAACAGTGAGTAACATGAGATCCCGCACGCATGCATTCTTCTCCTTTCTTGCCTTCCTTTTTAGGTTTGATCTTTGGAAGATACAAGAGCACAGAGCAATTTAACTTGTTTAAAGTGCTTTCCACAATGAAAGCTACTTATTTAACTGGATTCAAGATTGCCATTCTTCAGTACTGCAGAAATTACTTTTTTTTTTTTTTTTTTTTTTTTGAGATGCATCTGTAGTTTGGTCACTGGAAATACCATTTAGGAACAGAACCATCACATGTGAAATGACTGAAAATACTCTTTTGTGGTTTTGTTTTAATCTCCTCTCTATTCTTTTTCCTCTACAAAGCAAAGACTTCTTATGTTTGCAATAAAACACTTTATTTTTATATAGTGTTCATAAGATAATTGGTAGTTTAATTTTATCCTCCAAAATGATCTCTTTCTTAGGACACTGGAAAACTTCCTAGCTCCGTCCCCCTCAGTTTTTTATGGAGTTCAACAAGGTGGTAGAGTAGTCAGAGATCCCATTTCAAAAAAACAATGGTTACACAAATTATTAGCAGATGTAGTATAGCAATTTTAAGACTGGTTTTCAGCCTTTTTCTTCTTGTGTCCCGGCCAGTCCCTCAGTCATGTAGTCATCATGGGCAGCTCTGAGTGCTGGAAAGGGAGCACTGGGATTTGTGCACCCTCTGAAACCTGCTTATTGTAGGGGAGGGTGCTTGAAGAGGGGCGACACTGAAAGTTGCAAGACGGAGGCTGCAGGAAATGGCATGTACACGTTTCTGATTTTCTCCGTTCTGCTATTAACCTGGCTTGCACTTCTGTGTAAAAGCTGCTCCTACAAACCCCACATCTGCTACCAAGAAACTGCATATTGTTAAACCTGGTAACCTACAAGCAAATGCATAACCAGAGAACCCATCTGGAAATGGCATTCTTTTATCCCTCTGTCTCTTTGTGACCCAATGTGGCACAAAAGCAATCTCTTGGGTGACTGTGAGAAATGAGGTGACCAGATACAATTCAGTACAGAGGAAGACATCCTTCAGATGCTGCTTCAGCAGCACAAAGGCTGCTGACCAGTTAGAGAGGCAGGCCGTAGGTAAAATGTGCCCCCAAATACTTTCCAATGGGTTTATTTTATACTTGGTCATAATACATAACTAAATACAAATTGCAAAAGTAGATAACTCTGAACAATTAGCATCTTATTTGAAGTACACGTCAGTACCTCACACAGACCTCATGAGAGCGATCATTTCTATTTTCTATGCATGTCATCAAATCTTCTGCTTACATTTTTTACCCCTTGATATGAAAGACAGTAAAAAGGGAAAAAGGGCTTTGCTGCACCACTTGTGGAGTCGTACTTTCCTAGTTGTCTCCTGGTGGAGGTAAATGATCGTTCTGCTTTTTGACACAATGAGCAAACCTGTCAGAATTGTGGCAGGCTTTATGTATCTACGGGGTTTGGTTTACCAAAAAGCTTCCTGTTATTGTCTACAAACCTTGTGCTACAGCTGAAGATACTTGCCAAGAGCAACAGCCTAAGTAATGTTTTTACACCATATTATTTGGACCAAGTTACAGTTCGCTTCCTTCTTTTTAATGCACAGTATCCAGCACCACATGGGCATCCTTCCAAAGCGATCCTCAATTGTTGACTGTGCTTGTTATAAATAAAGCTGAGAGTGAACAAACAAGGCTAGTGCTGCTTCTTATTTTCAAACTCATTTTGTGGGATTTGAAATCATACTTTTTTTAGTAATGATGAAGATGTTATTATGGAGCTTCATCCCCAGAGAATTAATAGAACACAATTTATTCTAAATCTAATACGCTGTGAAAAAAGCAACCCTCAGACCTTTATTAGCATGTATATTGGTTTCAATTACATGCAAGAATTAGAGTATTCAGGTTACCTCTAGGTCAGAGATAATGGGCATGATGATTATGCAGGGCTCTTTTCAGGGATTATTGACACGGGGAAGTTAGCGCACAATGAGATTGACAGTAAACTGACAATGCAAACCAGCTATTGCGGGGAGCAGAATAGGTTTGTCTATCTCAAGAACACTTCAGAGGAGGAGGTTAATATGGGTATGTAATCTTGTGAGCTTCTTCGAGGCTCGCTAATCCACTCTCCTTTTCAAAATCAAAGCCAAACCATTCTTCTGCCATCTTTGTCTCTGTGTCTCTAGGTCAGCCATTTAAACTGGACCCCAAATCTGCTCATAGAAAATTGAAAGTGTCTCATGATAACTTGACAGTGGAACGTGATGAAACATCCTCCAAAAAGAGTCACACACCAGAACGATTCACGAGCCAAGGGAGCTATGGAGTAGCTGGCAACGTGTTCATTGACAGCGGGCGGCATTACTGGGAAGTGGTTATAAGCGGGAGTACATGGTACGTATATAAAAATATATGTGAAAAGAATTACTAGTTCACACTGTGCAGGTCCTGGCACGGTTTCTCTGATAGAGACCAGAAGCAGAGGCATGGGGAACAGCACCAGAGCAGGACAAGCATATACTTTCACATAGTTTGTCAGGGTATTTTCCCAGTCTCCAGCACTTTTGAACTCTGGAACTAAATCTGCCAGACAGACCGTCTTTACATTTGGCGGCCTTCACAGGACTTTTACTCCATGGCTGGGGATGGTTGTGTTTTCATCTTGTTTGTACAGCAGAGCAAACTTTGTAAGTGTGATCATTTCTTTACTAAATGTGAAAGATCTTGGCGTCTTTCAGTAAGAAAAAAAATTAAATATGAGAACAATTTGATGATCCCGTTTCACAGGGGTGGAGGTCTGATTTGCTTCTGGGGAGTGGACGTGGAGCAGCAGAGCTGTAGGTCTGTGCCCCACGGTATGAAGCAAGGGGCAGGAAATGGAGAAGTACATTTCTCCACTCCTGAATGATCCTCTGTGTCATGCAGGGGTGGATTTCAGGGGCCCTTCAGTCAGTGGAAGAGATGTCATCCTTTGGGTCTCAAAGGCAACAATCATGATGGAGGTTAAGAGAGTGGAAAAATCAGTAAGGTGTTCAGGTATGCCCACTGTCTCAAACAAGAAAAATGCTGTTTGCATGTGCCAAGGCCAAGGAATAGAAATAGAGTAACTTATGGCATATTAATCTCTGTTGGTTGAAAGCCCAACAAATACTGCAGTGTCTCTAGAACGTGAGGAACTTTTACATTTCTGTTATATATGAGAAATCAGGTATTTGCCCTCAGTGTCCATTAATAAGAACATTTTCACAATCCTTTTACTCTGCACATCTTGCCATAAATTATGGTTTGCAGAACAAATGTCTTCACCTACAATTGCTTCACTTGGCCCAAAACCCAGTCTCAAAAATGCTCATTTGAATCTAAAAACCACACCAACATCTGGCAAAACATATTTGGGAATGGCAAAAATGGGGGGGGGGGGGATAGGTCTTTTTGTTG